GGCATTTCTGTCTTCATTTTTGATGAGTGAAATGAGAGTCCTATGGAAGCCAAAAGAAGTGAATAGATGACTTTATTTAAGGAAATGCAGATTACTACCTATCTACCTTATCCCTCCTCCCCCGCAATTCGTTTTCAGTTAGGATTTTTCTTAGATATGATTCAACTCTAGATCTGCTTCTTTGGTCAGAATCAGCTTTACATACCCCACAATTTTTGAATTGACGTCTGAATAATGTATAAATTAGATTTGACATAACGTATGTACATATTATTATTTTACTGGGTTTTTCATCTTTGAAAAGAAGTGATTGAGAATTATGTATATGTGGCATTTCCATTTCAGAGATAATGTCATATTTATGGTAGGACCAGGTTTTAAGCATATTTAACAAATGCAACTTTTCTATTCCTCTCTCCACTAGGTAAATAGATCACAATATAAAAGATCAACCTCCAAGTTAAAATTACACAAATACAGGGTGGGGCAAAAGTAGGTTTACAGTTGTGAGTACATGAAACAAAGTTTATTCTTGTATTATTTTCCATATGAAAAACTGTAAAACTACTTTTACCCCACCCTATATTAAGTGAATATAATATTTGAGAGAAAAATTTCATAGTTTGTGGAATGGTTTTATTTTTGGATAATATTATTTCATTTCTTTAATCTATTTGTTTCCAGATAAGTTATTTTTTATATTGTGACTGTTGTGGGTACATAATATTTTCTGCCCCAAATCTATCCACTTTGAATAAATATATTTCAAAGTGAACACAAGTCCCTCTGTGAAGGTACAATAAAAAATTCAGGAGCATTTGGAAACCATGTCTCCCAAGTTGTCCAGGTCACAGATGTCATCAATGGCTCCTCCCTATTTTTCGTTCCAATGTGAGAGATTCTTATTAAGTACAATATATCCTTTCAATATACTAGAAAAAAAAAGGCTAAGACCAACAGGTTTATGTAGTTTGAATACTTGTTAATAGATATTTCCTATTATGTATTAACTGATCCATAAACAAACACAATTCATTAGCTCCCAAAAGCGAAACACAAGAAAGCAAGGGTGGGTCTTCCTCAGGGACTAGGAAGCTGTCGGGACTCTTTCTGCCTCTCATCCCCGTTCCCATCAGCATGGAGTTTTTAGTTTCTCTTACTGTAGATGTATTTTTTTTCCCTGGCAGAGAACAACTTCACAGGGAGAAAGGAATCTACACACTCTTCATAAGGCCAGCTGGAAACAACAGCGGAATGATGCTGAGTGATCCAATTTGACCCTGAATCAGGGTGAGAAAGCATTGAAATTGATGGAGTATTGTCGAGGTCAATGGAGCTCATGAGGGTTTGTGATCCTGGCTGGAGTGCAAAAGCCAACTCCCTGGAAAAGGCCCAGGATCATTGTTATAGATCAGTGATGGCAAACCTATGACACGCATGAACTCATCTTTTTGGTTGATTTTTCTTTGTTAAATGGCATTTAAATATATAAAATAAATATCAAAAATATAAATATTTGTTTTACTATGGTTGCAAATATCAAAAAATTTCTATATGTGACACGGCACCAGAGTTAAGTTAGGGTTTTTCAAAATGCTGACACGCCAAGCTCAAAAGGTTCTCCATCACTGCACTAGGTCATACTTGACTTCTAGCAATCTGTTAAAATGTTTTAGCTATTACCTGCTTGTGTGGTACCCAGCTTCTTTTCCTGCCAAGTTTTACCATTGGTGGGCAAGTGTTCATATCTTGTCTCTCCTTGAAAGGATCTGCCTTTCCTTGAATTTGGAGCTATTTAGTTAAACTATGAACTTAGGTCTCTCTTGCCAAAATGCCTTTGTGTCTGTAACACCCACTTTGACACTATGCCTCATCCAGGCTTCATTGTCTGGCTGATGACTGCACCCTCAGGAATGTACCCTGTGCTGGTGGCTTCCAGCTAGGCAGCCCTGAGTGTGAAAGCTGGCTTAGCCATTTGCTTACCTCTTTGAGCCTAATTTTCTTACCTGTAAAAAGGGGAGAATAATATCAATCTTCCTCCTCCTAGTTCTAGGAGGAACTAGAAATCTATAATAATAAAAGTGTAATATGCTAATTAGACCAGACATCCTTCTAGACCAGGGGTGGGCAAACTTTTTGACTCAAGGGCCACAATGGGTTCTTAAACTGGACCGGAGGGCCGGAACAAAAGCATGGATGGAGTGTTTGTGTGAACTAATATAAATTCAAAGTAAACATCATTAAAAAAAAGGGTTGCACATTTACATGTATAAGTATTTTCTGTTCATTTTTACTCATAAAATATTTATTATGTTTAATAAAACATTTTGGTAATGAATAATTTAGCACAAAAAATGACACGTTCCTGTCATCATACCTCAGAGGATGTTTGGTGATCAGTCAAAATCTAAGAAATTTTCCCAGTAGTTTTTCCTCACACCATTTCACCCTTTTCTTCTACTCTTCTCATGCATAGTCAATGTCCATGTCTCTTCATTCTAATAAAAAACAAAAAGAAATATATGTACATATATAAATTATATGAATTGAATACAAATATAGAATATGTTTTAAGGGTAAATATCTTCTTTACTTAGCCAAGACACCAAATGACTAGTAAAAAAAACCTTTAAATTGCATTAAAAAAAACCAAAACAAAAACACACTATATATTTTTCTTGGTGTTTCAAGAAAGATATATCACTCAATAAAAATTTATCTTACGGGTATATAAATGTAAATGTTTTTTTCTTTCACTGTTGTAATAAATGTATTTGGATTATTAAAACTTCTGCAAGAAATGTTTACAATATAATTTTATCCCTGGTGAGCTGAAAATGATGATCTTTATGTGAGAAAAATGCTAAACTCTTTCTATAAGTAGGGAAAATAAGGTTTTCCGCCTGTTGACTTTGTATATCCAAAATCCTATGTAGATATTGAAACTGTGAAAAAGAAAACAACAATTTTCAAATGGCATCAAGAGCAAAAAAATGCTCCTTTCAAAACATATTTAAGAATTAAAAAAAAATCCTAAAAAAAATATCCCATTTATCGTTGCAACAACAACAAAAAATAAGATACTCAGGAATACACTTAACCAAAAAAGCAAAATACCTACACTTGGAAAACCAGAGGACATTGAAAAAAGAGATAGAAGAAGATATAAACAAGTGGAAGAACAAACCGTGTTCATGAATTGATAGAATCAACATCATTAAACTGTCCATACTACTCAAGTCAATCTACAGATTCAATGCAATCCCTATTAAAATACCGTGACTTATTTTACAGAGCTAGAACAAATACTCCAAAAATTCATATGCAGTCAAAAAAGACCCTGATTAGCTGTAGCAATTTTGAGAAAGAAAAACAAAGTTGGAGAAATCACAATACCAGATTTCAAGTTATACTACAAAGCCACCATAATCAAAACAGCCTGGTACTGGCACAAGAACAGGCATATAAATCAATGGAAAAGAA